ACCCCCTGCCGGGGTTACAGCGAAATTAAAAAACTGAAAACAAAAAAAACAAAACAGCCGTGACTGTGAACACAGTGTTAAAACAGAGGTGGAAACTGCGAGCGTGACACTGAGATGCTGTGATGACGTCTGTTGGAAAGGTAATAATTACAGAGTGTCACCTTTTTTTACGACGTATAGGAAAGAGAATTAGATACTTTGTATGATGACAGATTTGAAGTCAGGGCTTGGCTTCATTGGTTTAGCACATTAAAGTATGGCATGATCGAGTGAAATGGTCATGCCAAGGTAGTTTCAAGCCACAAGAACATGTTCTTTTTTTGCAGAGGACCATTGCTCTACATTTTCTCTTGTATTTGTCCACAGTATTTAGGTGAGTGCAGCTCTTGCTTTGCACAAAACAGTGAGGACATGTTGATAATCGATGCATTACTTTTGTCTCATGATGAAAGTTGGAATCAGAGAAAAACATTCAACCTACATGAATGATGATAATGATAAAAATATCATACATATTGTCCCCGACTGATGATGTGTGATTTATCCACACACCTTTTTTTTTTACTCTCTAATATGTTTGTTTTGTCATGTATGAAACAGGCTTTGCCTTGTGATGTTTAATCTGCTCACCTCTATGGCACATGCGACGTGTTGTGACCGATACTGAAGGGTTCATATGGTTTATAACAAGAGTATAAAAGGAAGTGTATTGACCTATGTTATTGTCAAAAGGTTCATTCTGCTAGTTATGGGTGATTGCAGTGCATAATCTCCACTAGTGCCACCTTTTATTTTCAGCCTCTCATATGCAAATACATATATTTATGTAAGGGCACTTGTCCTATTACTTTCTCAACTTTGCATAATCATATAAAATTGTTTTTCCCCTTACACCTCGTGCAGAGAGAGTTCATGTTGTTCTGTCAGGGGTTTGTATGTGCAGAACATTATTTATTTAAAACCTGAAGAAACTGATTTGTTGGCCACTTGGGGAAAAGGGAAACAGTTTACATGTAAAATTGAAACATCAATTTTTCATCAAGTTTATTTAAACCTGTATGAAAGTGTTTTTTTTTTTTTTTACATATTCAGCACATATGGAGCAACTTAAATATTCCTTCTGTATGTGCTCTTGTGTATGGCAATGTCTTATTATTTCATATCATAATCACTCGAATGTCTTTTTTTAGCTGGTTTTGGTCTACTCCATATCACAAGAGAAATATCTGCCTCTAGCTGCTAATAATCCTGTGTGTGCACCAGGTGGCTCCCCTGTTTTAAACCCTATCTCATTAAAGGTATTAAAGTCTCATGAAGTTTATTCTGATATTTGTGGCTCCCTCATTAACTATTAACAGACCTGACACATAATATTTTCATTTCTTTGTGAAAATAGAGAAATGTAAGTCAAACTGAAGTGTACCTCCAGCTGAATATCTGACTTCTATCAAGCTGAAATGATTTATTATAAGATAAACACAATGGTTGGTATCTTCTAATGTCAGGATTTCTTACTAAGAAGCCCTATATAATATTTTTATTACATAGAAAACAAGCAAGCTCAAATTAAAAAAAGAAGCATCAAGGCCACCCATTTTCTGTTCCCTCTCTCTAACACACACACACACACACACACACACACACACACACACACACACACACACACACACACACACACACACACACACACACACACACACACACACACACACACACACACACACACACACACACACACACACACACACACACACACTCTGTTTTTCTCATTTAAGACGCCTCTGGGAGCGAATAAGTGCCACGCTGTGCCAGTCCACTGGTGCTTGCTCTCGCCAAGGCCTGACACACAGGGATGCCGGCTGGCAGGGTGCTCCAACCTCCCCTTACCCCCCACCCCCCTCCCTCTTCACAGCACCGGGGGGGCCATGGGCAGCTGAGAGAGAGAGCGGCCAACGGATCAACAGTTGCTGTGACGTTGGGTGAACGACTGCCTGGGCTGCCGCACGCCACCCAGCCCCACATTCGGGGCACCTGACCCTGGGTAAACTGACAAATGCCTGGCCTTTGGGTGCGCCTGCAGAGTGATGTGACCTGCAGGCCGTTATGACCTTACTGCACTGGACACACACACACACACACTTGAGAGCACTTATACTGTAGCCTACCCTCTGCCTGCCTTGTGTTGCCAATCACAATGTTTTTCAAGCTCCTGATCAAGTCTTTTGTGCTTACATTTGCCCACGCTTTTCAGGCCGTTTGATTTATCGTCATGGAAATGGAGCTCTGAGGCTTCTTGCGCCCAGAAAAGAATGCTGTAATTTGCTCCTAATTAACATGTTGAAATGATGTGATTTGATTAGCCCTTGACAGCTGAATCACACAGTTGCTTTACAGTAATTTGATCAGTGCCTTGTTAGTTTTAGCGAAGAAAAAGTACATTTGCTTGATTAGATTTCTCTCCACTGGCTCCACTGTTTGCATTGTTAGATCTTTATAGGCGCTGTGTATATGTTGGCATGGGCACTCACACAAGCATATGGTACACAGGTTTTACAGCCTCGTGGTCTACTGTACACTCGTTGGGCATATTTAAGTCAACTTGACAAGGCTGTTAATTTTTTCTGTAACCAGGCATGGACCCCAACAACCCTCTCTCTCCACGTCCCCTCTTCCCTCCAAAATGCCCAGCTGTCTCTGCAGTAGACAGCTGCTTCAGGAGTAGAACGAATCTCAGCTGTCGAGGGGAGCTATGGGCGGGGGTTGGTGGATTTTGGGGGGTTGTTTTCCCCTTAAAACCAATGACAACTCCACTCCTTGCTAGGCACTGAGTTGGGTGGAGTGTGGAAAAATCGCTGACAGGGTGCAGATTTAAGGACAGAAACCAGAGGCTACAGCTGTCTGTGTGTTTACAACCAAAGTGCTCTGTACTTCTGAAAAGGGGAATTCTGGGGTCAGATCAGTGACGTCCGCCTAAACGTCTTAGCAAAAAAAACCTTCAGTAGCTTGTATTGCAAACTGCAGTGTTAGCTGTTTGGACAGAGAAGTGTGTTGGCATACTGTTGTTACTTTTTTAAGCTTAAATGTTATATTTACACCTTATTTTACATTATTTTACATGTACAAACATCAGTAGAAACAATGAGACTTAAAGCATGAAATATTTGTATTGCCCCTTTTTTTGCTAAAAGGTTAGTTTTACATAAATGATGGCCATGAGTAATCATTACAACATACAGATCAGTTCAAAAAGTTGAGATTTATGGCGCCAGTGGCCTAGTGGTTAGTTTAGGCGTACCATGTACAGAGACTACAATCCACAAAGCGAGCAGTCAGGGTTCAAATCCATCCTGCGGCTCCTTTGCCACATGTCATTCCCCACTCTTTCCAACTCTATCCACTGTTCTGTCTCTCTGATAAAGGAATAACAAGCCCAAAAATAAATCTTACAAACATTATTTTTTGCACTCTTTGAAGCTTAAATGTATTTTTTCTTTAGAATTGTACCATAATTAATATTTACTGCCTACAGATCAATTGAAAAGTTGTGACTTGCTCATTACCAAATCCAACAAGAGGTTAAAAAAAAAAGCCTGCTGTCATATGTCCTCTACTGCACAGAAACTCCCTTAAACATGACTCACTACCTGTTTTGTTTGTTTTTTGCTCTGGTGTTTCTCTGTTCTGATCCATGCTTCACTTTGTAAAGGTCAGAGGTAATTCAATCTCACTTCAGTCTCCTGTTGCAGAGAGCAAACAAGGTCTCTGGACTCTGATCTCTGAGCGTATTCTGATCAGCCTGGACAGCCTGGCTCTTGATCACACAGGCAGTTGTATTATACATTAATTTCATATTGCATAACCAACAACAGCATCTCATTACAGGCCACAGAGGATCAGGATCTAATCACAATACGCTGCTGTTCTCCTTTTTTTTTGCAAATGAAGACAATATGTGGACCCTGTGATATGGTGACATCCTCCATGAGACTTTTTCAGTGATGTTGTGAATTACATCTGCTTTTGTGTGTAAGAGTCACACAGAGGCCAGTGGCCATGTTTTTCCACTGTACTACTCCAAACACAATTTAGCCTGTGTGTAGAGAAGGAAGTTAAAAACAACTGTAGCCTATTAATTAAAAGGACAACCAGTGAAAATCACAACTTTTTTTATTATTGCTAAATAAAATGTATTTTTACTGGTTTTACATTCCCTCATATCTTCAGGTGTTTGGAGATTTTTGGGTCATTCAGACCCACAATAACTAAACTCTGCTGTTGTACCTATTTAACTGTGACTTTCTATTTGATGAACTTATGTCGCCCTCTTGTGGTGCATTGTTGTAATCACACCTCCATGACGTTCCACAGGTGTTTGACATTTTCCTCCCAATAAAATATAAAAAGCCTCATTCTATGTGAATAAGATAACCTTGATGACTTGTATTAACCATCTTTTATTGTTGAAAACAACTGAAACGAATTAACGAAACGTGTTTTGTTGACTTTCTTTTAAGTAGCCATGGCCTCATTCCACGTCTCATGCATGCATAATCTTATCCAAGCAATACGAGCATTCAGGATTTTATCGCGATCATAATAATTTTGTTCAGATGTTGCATGTGAATGGCAGGCTATTCCGAAAACAAAGTCTGTTTTCCTCATTGCTCTAAATAACTCGTTTTCGCTTTGCGTTGTATGCCTCTTACTTTGAAGGTTTAGATGGTCAGGTTTCTGCCAAATTCCAGAACCGAGTTTATTGATTTTCTGAGAATGAAACCTTTACTTTCGACTCACAATAGTATCGTATAATCGTTTAATGTTCTGCACCTCTAAGTACCCAAACTTAAAGGATTTGTTCTTTAATGGGCAGCTATTTTCAGCACCATTACTGGCGTCTCTCTGTTGCCAAAAGTATCTATATTTATCCGTAGTATACATCTTTGTTGGGGTTTGTAGTTTGTATAATGAGGATAGGAAAGCTCAGCCTTTTTCTGCCTTCAAGCTCTACGCAGTGCAAAGTGCAGCGTCTGTGCGTCCGGATTGTTTTGCGCTCACGGTGGCGTTTTGTGCCACATCACATGTCATGCAGCTCCGGCGCGCAGAGCTGAATCTGTGGTCCTGAAAAGAGCACGCTGTAAGGAGCAGGAAAGCGCTTCCACAACAACGATTCGGGACAATTGCAATACGGGACCATTTTGCGCTTACTTTGGATTGACAGGTGTGGAAGAACATGCGTTCAACGCGCAGGTGAAAACAATCTGCTCATTAACGCCGCTGCAACTTTTCAGTCCTACACCTTGAGCTGAGAAATTTGTTCTTGTTCTTATAGCTTACGATCGTAAAGATAGTTTAGAAATCTTGTGAAATGTCTCGTAAGAAGGCAGCCAAAGGCAAAGCCGCTAGCAGCAGCCCGTCTGCAGGCAGCCCTACCGGGAAAGGAACCGGGAAATCCGCGAGGAGCAGCCCGGCCATCGTCCAGATGAACGGGGTGGTCCACCCCAGCAGACCCTCCATCAGCAACAGCAGCGAGTTTTACGACATGGCTTTTAAGGTAAGTCGCCTAATGTTGTTTACGCACAAAAACATGGAGAAACTGACATGAAAGTGCGCGTAATTCTGTAATCTTACATTAAATGATTACAGACTGGGTACAAATGATGGCAGAAATGTTACTGAACTACATACAGATATAATTTAAATGTAGAACATGTAGAAATAAACACGTAGTAAAATGAGTATTGAAGACATTGCATTGTGTTTCGTTTTACAACCACCTTTTATTCATTAAACAGCAGCGAGCTCCTGACACCAGCTGTGTCAATATTCGATCGATAACAAGGAAATGTGCACAGCCCTGCCACAGACAACAAACAAATCAGTCACAGCAACTGGTTTAGAGCGTGTTTCTCCCAGCAGCGGGTTACTGGGTTGAAAGGGATCTTTTGGCGAGCTTCGCTGAAACCAAAATGTGAGCACTTGTGTGAGTAGAGAAGTGTCACTTCACCAACAACGCAAACAGTTTTCACACCCACAGATTCTCAGTGTGCACTACCATCACAGAGCCAAGGGACTTTGTGCCACCTCCTCCTCCATGGTTTTGAAGCAGCTGTTTGATGTGAGTGCATGATGGATTTGTGCTGCTCTTTTTTGCAGAAAAATTGATTGTACCATCCAAAAGCTCTTAAATATGTAGGCTGCAGATAGAGCTCCAACAAATTATTGTTATCCTCATCTACTGGTTATGTTTGCAATAATCATTTAGCCTTTTATTAGAAAGTTTAAGGGTAATGAATAGCACATTTTCCTGAGCCAAACATGATCTCTTCAGGCTGCTTCTTTTATGAATCCATCCATGCTTATAATAAGTATGTGCTGTGTAAAATGACAAAAAGGTACTAGAACCAGAAAATGTTGGCCATGTTCCTTTTTAAAAATCACAAAAAGATAAATCAATAATCAAAGTATTTTGCCATTCTTTATCTGTTACACTGTACCCTTGTTTAGTTCTATACATTTTGCATCTTCTGTATATGTCAGGCACATATATTTCCTCCAAATTCCTCTTTAACCGTGTCTAAATATAGCTGTTATACCTACTTTGATGTTGCAAGACTTTTGCAAGGGAAGGATACCTCATTACCAATGGAGCTCTGCAGAGATTAACCTTTACTGTATCCCCTTTTCACACACACAAAAATGCAGCATAGCATGCACCATGTTTTTTTTTTTTATTTACTGCTCCTTCTGATCATCCTTCTGCATCGAGTCAGTGAGAAAATTGATTTCATATTATTTCTTTAAAAAAAGAAAACCAAGGGCGGGAAGAGACCTGGTGCCTCCTCCTGCACACTCCTGCAAATATGTATCTGCTGCAGGGAGAAGAAACACAGACACAGAGATAAAAAAAACAATTTAAAGCAGAAGAAAAGAGGTGATGAGATATTCAGACGTACATTATTAACACCATACAGTGACCATATTCCACCTCTTCATATAGCTCTTCCTCTCTGTCATCTCATCTCTGCTTCCGCTGTGCACCCAAGAGACCCCCTTGGATTTCTATTATATTTGCACTCACAATCCCCTCAGCCAACCTGGTGATATTAATCACATCAAACCTTTACGTTCATCTTCAGAGAGATAATGTAAGACTGTGTTGAGCAGCAGGAATGAAAGCCATGCATCGCTGTGCATTGAGACGGTTGGATTTGTTCACGCTCTCAGAGAATGGACACCACTGATGGATATGATGACACACTCGTTTGCCAACTCTTACTGGCTGAGCACCAAAATACCAGGATGGATTTAACTGAATGATTCAAATGTTCTGTTTTATTTCTGAGGACTAATAATGACAGACTGAGCTAAATTTACACACATGAGCAAAAGATCTGTCTCGCAGTGTTCTGTTTCTACTTCCCTCGGTGGTTGTATCAGTTCTGTCTGACATTTACCTTCCATTGATTAATCAAACGGGCCAGAGTTCTGTACCTCTGCGTCTCATTTTTCTGCTTCTTAGTTTCGCCTTGTAATCCTTCATGGCTGAGTTCCCCCTCTTGGTTTCCTGTGCAGGTGATGCTGGTCGGAGACTCTGGGGTGGGGAAAACATGTCTTCTGGTCCGTTTTAAAGACGGAGCCTTCCTGGCCGGCAGCTTCATCTCCACTGTGGGCATCGACTTCAGGGTGAGTTTAATGTTGAAGAAACAAACACACACAAATACAACCAATCCCTCTCATACACAGCACATTCAGACTTCGTCAGGTTTGGAACTATTCTTTAAAACAGGTTACACTAATGGGAGCTGGCCAGTGTCTTTGTATGCCTACAGGCTATGTAGATTCCCAGTGTGAGAAGTGTCACCACATAGGATATTGATTTCTTAAATTAGTTTGACATGCTTTAGTTTTGGAGTCTCCCTGACTGATAATTGTGTCTCTCGTGTGCCAGTTTTGTGCTCCCTGCTGGGCAGCAGGGACAGAGCGCGTCCATCTTCTTTTACTAATGATCCCAGTCAGGTGTGTCTGTGGGCCCAAGAGCCAAAGACAGGCAATCAGTCACAGCAACACAAACTGCAACACTCAAGCCAAGAGACGCTATTACTGCCCTAAGGTAGCAGAGTCATGAGGGCTACAGTTAAAGCCCAGACTAACTACACATTTAATCACTCTGCCAATTTTCTTTTCATAGACATAAAGTCTTAAATTGGTTGCAGAAGATCAAGGGATAGTGTTTTCCTGTTCAAAACCACAATGCATTTCATCCCCCGGACTATTCGGTGTGTTTTTTCTTTTCTCTGATGTTGTGTCGATCTTTTAATGATTTCTAGTTAAACTCGGTCATGGTCAGACCTATGTGACTTTTCTTCTTTGTTTCTGTTGCGATGCTGTGTTAGCGTCTTTTATAAACCAAACTAAAAACAGTAACCTCCCACTGCCTGGTGCACCAACACAACTTAAACACAATCTTATCCTTTACATGATGAAACACTTTTAAACCTGCAGCAATGATTCTGAATTAAGATGCATTCTATGGTTATGTCAGAAATCAAACACGACTCACTATATAGTGCACTATATAAGGAATACACTATTGTAATGAAATGTATGGAAAAACTTATGGTGAGCAGGCTGAGGTCGGAGGTAGGCCCACAGCTAGACCCATACCAATTTGCATACACACAGCATAGAGGTACTGATGACGCTATCAATAGCTTAGTGCACATGGTCACCAAACATCTGGAGAATCCCAAGGCCTACGCTAGATTACTGTTTGTTGATTTTAGTTCAGCGTTTAACACCTTGCAGCCTCACATTCTACTTAACACACTAAATCAGCTTAGGGTCAATCCATTCATCATTAAATGGTATCATTCATTTCTCACGAACCGCACCCAGCAAGTCAGAGTGAACAGAACTGTGTCAGAGCTCACAACCATCAGCACCGGAGCGCCCCAGGGGTGTGTTAGCTCACCAGTGCTGTTCACTCTCTACACAAATCAGTACCAGCAACAGTGGAAACGTACATGTTGTTAAATTTTCCGATGACATGGCCATCCTGGGCCTTATGCAAACAGACTCGGACATTCACACATATACATCAACAATCAGCAACTTTGTGCAGTGGTGTGACGAACACCATCTCCTCCTCAACACAAAAAAAAACAAATGAGATGGTGTTCGACCCTCGGTCTCTTGGCGACCACTCACCAGTGGTCATCCATGATCACACCACAACACAAGTAGAGTCCTACAAATATCTCGGCATCCACATGGACAATAAACTAGTGTGGAAGTCCCAGGTGGAAGCTGTCTTTTCCAGAGTGCAGCAGAGGATTCACTTTTTGAGAAGACTCAGGACCTTTGGTGTGTCCCGGGAAGTGCAGCTTCTCTTCTACCATGCAGTAGTAGAGAGCCTCCTACGATATGGTATCTCTGCATGGTTTGGAAGTTTGACTGTTCAGTCAAAGGCCCAAATCAACAGACTCACAAAGACAGCCATGAAAATCATGGGAGTTCATCAACACCCCAGCCTCCAAGACATCTTTCAACAAACCATAATCAGACAGGCACAAAAAATAATCTCAGACCCATCTCATGTTCTTCACCCTGAGTACCAGCTCCTCCCCTCAGGCCGACGGTACAGGGTACCCCGAGGGAGGAACAACCGTTTCAGAAATATCTTTGTTCCCTTGTCCATCAAAGCCCTCAACAGTGTGTGTATACGTGTGCATGTATGAGGTGGTGAGTGTGTGTGTGAAGATGTGTAGATGTACCTGCACTGTTATCACTTTTCATAACTATTACATATTTATGGTTTTAGTAATTCACTTGTATGGAATTTAATGATTATTTAACTGACATGTTTTACCGACGAATGAATGTATTTTGTTATTTTTTTGCTACTGCATCAGAGCTCTGTGAAGTCCAAGACAAATTTCCCACTGGGACAATAAAGTTAATTTTAAATCTTAATGTGGTGTCCTTACAGAGTAGACATTATCATACCTCACGCTCATTGTATCCCACAATGCATTGTGCAAAGTAGTGTACAGCTCATGGTCACTATCCATGCAATATATTCCATCATGCATTGCAGTTCAAGGCTTTTCATGAATAGGAAGTGGCTTTTGATTGCGACCAGCATCAACTCACAACACAGAAACACAGAAAACGTTCATATTTGAGGATATTTTTACTTAAATCTTGAAGCTGTTTTGGTAAAGAGTAAACGATTCTCAACAGAGTAATGTAAGTTTTTCCTCATGGTGAGGTCATGGGACCATCGTCTGTAAGAACACACAAAAGAGTTTTGGTGCGACACTGTTATATAAATGATTAAAAACTCCATATTTCAGATTTATTTATTATGTTTAATTGTTGTGAAATTTTGCTCAGTATAATATTAGTACACTGAAAGGCATGATGTTACTACAATAAGCTGCATGTTTTAGCTGTGCTACACTAACCTCATCATTGTCGGTAGTGAGCGAGTGTCCGAAGTTTTTTTTTTACTGTACCGAATGAGTGTAGGAGTCTATGTAGTCCACTACAGAACTCCCTACGCAGGCATTAAGGAATGAGCATGTGATATGGGACACAACCTCTGTTTAAACTCAGGCTATGAAGTTGATTTAAAAACCGAGATGGTAGCTTTAGCTTAGCTAGCGCATAGCTGTTCAGAGGATGAATTAATAGCTGTCTCAAAGCATGTTTACACCGTCTCTACATTCAGATAGAAACCTGAAGACTCGACATTGCTCAGCTCCATCTTGAGATTCAAAATGACTCCTCTTTAAATGCAGTAGAACCCCTCATTACCTGTAAACATAGATTGATGTGCAAATATGATGCTGCTACCTTTAAATAACCTCTGCAGTTTTCTATGGAGGGCATACGTTATTGTTCTTTAACTCAAATCTAACTTTTGAATTTTGATACCGCCGATCTGCTCGCTCTTAAAAGGCTGCATGTTCCTGCTCACCCTCTTTCATTGCTTTCAGTAAGTGCATGTCAGTCGCTCAACAAACCCTTCTAAGCTCATTGGAAAAGCTTTATGTAAGTTTATCTTGACTTTCTCCTGCACCTGTCTGCTCCACCTTGCTCTGTAAATTAACCTCTTTCAAAAAGCAGTTTAAAATTCTGAAGTTAACGCCATTACATAAAGTGTGAGTGCAATGTTGGAGCCTTTATACTCTCGGGAGGCAGTCTCACATGGGCCGCCACAGTGTGCGTGCGTGTACCCTGTGTGTGGGTTGGATGAGTTTGTGGGTGGATGAGCAGTTGATTTATTTACTTATGTAACACCTCTTCTAACACTGTCTGCAGACCTGATGTACATTAGGCCTATCTGAGCAAACCAGAGAGCTTCATTAGCTCGATGCGTTTCTTCCTGATAGTGGGGAAACGTATAAAACTCAAAGTGTAATGCTTAGTCTGTGCTTTTGTCATATTGACTTATTATTTAATTACAGCTTTGCACCGTGCTGTGTCACATGAATCATTTCATTATCATCTGCATAGCTTCTCGTTTAATAGTTCTACTCTTCGTGCAATTGAAATAAACCGACCTGACTCAGAAGGATCCTTCCTGACATCTTTTTTTTTGGCACGTTCATAAGAAACAGAATGAGCACACCACAAGAAGCAGACATACATTTAAAGTTACTCTTCATCTGACTGCGTGTGTCTTTAAAGAGTGTGTCTGAGAAGTTCTGAGAGCAGAACTTTGAGTCGGAAAACAGGAAGGTTCACTGTGTTTGTCTTCCCATGGAGGATAAACAGAGACGGAGAGTGATCGTTATTTTTAGGAAAGACAGTTTTCATTCCTTTCTAGTTGGTGGGAAAGAGAGGCAATTTGCTTTCGTACAGGGATTTGATCCGCTTCCCACTTCAAAGCTGCGGCGAGATGCTATGGTTTCTTACCCCCTTCTTGTTTATTGTGGACTCATCTCATTTAAGCCTCAGCATGTTCTCAGGATTACAGAGCTGCACTCGTGCCTTGTTGGGCTTAAAATACAGTGAGTCAGAAAGGAGAATTATTACCCCACAGCAATTGCGTTTCGCTATTAAATCTCTCTATGAAGGGTTTAAGACAAAGATTGAGAAAACAAGACTCACCTAATTATATGAATTCCATGTGGATAAACAGAGACGGAGAGTCTCTTTCTGTTCAATAAAAACTGCTTTACACTAACAGGAAAAATAAGATGCATTTGAGCAACTACATGTAGAAGCAGTCAGGACCATTTCCAAAGTAGGACAACTTCTTTTTATTAGAAACTGCCTGATACGACATGCCAGGCAGACTTGGGTAAAAGTAGCAACATGCATCACTCTGAGATCTTTGCTAAAACCAGATTTCTGGCAGAGAGAATCAAAGAATTCAGGCATGCAGCATGTCCAGGTCTTCAGTTGCCATGGCAGTGCAGGTGCTAACCAACAGGCAGGTGACTGAGATTGACCAGAGGGCAGTGCTTGTCTTTGAGCCGTTTTTTTTTTTTTTAAAGCCCATGAAGTTCTTGGCTGCTGGGAGTCTGAGTGCTCTTGATTTTCTTCATTTCTTGCTTCAGTCTGGGGAGTTTGTGAAAGGCATCAGGTGGGTGTTAATAACTCCTGCGGCTCAGATGGAATTGTGCTTTCTGAGTGAAAAGGACCTCTGATGTGTTCTTCATGCTCCAGCCTGC